CACACACACACACACTACACAGCTACACACTCACACATAAACACTTTACCGTCGTTCAATCAAATCGTTGAATGAACAGATAGTAATACTTTTTTATAATCCGTAGCAAATCACACTCCCTAATAGAATGTCCACCTGCCTCCCCATTACTTTGTAAATAATAGTACACACAATTGATGATGACTTTTGCATTCACTTTTGTATTTTGATTGTTTTTTCCCACTCGAGCATTATTGTTGCTTGTGACAACACATTGAGAAGATCATATCAGGTCACTCAAAGACGCTGTTTCTTCTGCACAATTGGGCTCCCGAGCTAAATTAGTTTGTGTTTGGACTCAGTGANCATTATTGTTGCTTGTGACAACACATTGAGAAGATCATATCAGGTCACTCAAAGACGCTGTTTCTTCTGCACAATTGGGCTCCCGAGCTAAATTAGTTTGTGTTTGGACTCAGTGACAGTGGAGTTCAGTTTCAGGCCAGCTCAGTGATGACTTTTGAGCTGGAAATTTGCCCAATTTACAATTGACCAGTCGATTAATAGAAAAAAGACAGACACAAACACAAACACAAAAGTCAATATCTTTACTCGACTTTGCTGTACAAAATGTATCCAGTGGTAATTTGGCAATAATTTGCAAGGCGTAATTTTGCCAGCAGTTCTTTAGCACTGAAAGAAGACATGCAACTACAACAACAGACGGGAAACAATGACACACGTAATGATAAGGCTCATCGTTTCGAGAAGTCCATCAGAAGTGGTGTGCTTCTTCTGCTGTTGATAGTGGTGGCGGCGGTGGTGGGCCACCATCTCTCTAAAACCACAGCATCGCCAATTGTTGGCCCCACTTTGAAAGGTCTCAACTTTGCACAAAGGTCAGAAAGAAAAACAGAAAGCGAGAAAAGGTAGAAAAAGGAGAGGAACAGTGCGAACGACGGTGACTGGAGTCACTCACTCGCAAACAGTCACTCACTGCCCTTTTCCCTCTCTCTCATTCATCACAAATCATCTATTTTTATTCAAATAATCACTCAGTGAGACTTCCTTCGATTGTTTGTCAATAGATAGATGTTTGTCCTATTATCCTCAGTGCTCACTGAATGGTGTGATTGTGTGTGTGGCTTTGCTTGATGTTGCGGTGCTGGTGCTGGTACTGATGTGTGCGTGTGTCCTTTCAGCCCCAGCTCAAATGGCGAATGACGATTAAATTGGCGTAGAAACTACTACGCAGAGCAGGCAATATAGATCTCATTTGGCAGATGTATTGCTCTACTTGGAGCAAACAAACAAGCAAACTTTTTTTTGTTCATTCAGACTTTTTGACGCTATCTGTCGCGCCAGATCTCTCACTTAATTTGGCAGAAAAGTGTTTGGGAGTGCTGAGAAAATGCATCACACAAACGCATTGCTATAACAATCAACTGATTCAGTCAAGACATTATCATACCTGGTCGATAAGAAGTCGCATCATTGCAAAACAACAGTTGACATTTTTCAACTTACACAAATAGCAACTTTGCTAATTAAAACTATCTATTTCTAGACAAAGAATTAAATATAATTTTAAATCAGATAAATTTTTGCTCTCTATCGTTGTTTTTAAATTATTTACGTGGTCAAAACTGATGTGCTTTCAATTATCTCAAAAACTATTAATTAAATTTGATGCTGTTACCAAATTAACTTTAAAACAAAAATAATAAAATTTAAAAGTTAATGCTATTTATTCACATAATTGCTCTATGTGATACTTTCAATCGTTTTCACAAATGACTCTATAGTTGTCTCTATTGTTCCAAAGTTTGTAAAAAATCAGGTACGAACCGTTTTGTTACGCCCAGTGATTGACAAGCGTGTCAACGATTCGACAGGCACATTTTTCTGACATTTGATTCACTGCTGCATGCACAGTATTTAGCCCTAGAAATTGATTTCTTGAATACTTTTGAATATTTTCACGTATAGGTTTGTATCTTTGCAGTATTTGTTGTCAGAGAATCATGGTTGTGTTTTGGGTCAGCACAGCAAGTTGTTGCCTGGTTGCAAAGTGCAACCTAACTAACTCAATCTGCGCGTGCATATTAGAAATATTTAATTAGTTAATTACCTTCACAATTATCACACACACAATAGAACAAAACACAACACAAAACTGCCATGCACGCCATTAGACCCTCGTGCGGTGGCACGCGCTGTACTGCACTGGAGCGCAAACGAGGCTCATTAATAATTAAAAGAATCTGTCTGAAAAGAATCAGAGTCTGAACACTATTAATTACTATCACCATTATGCTTTCAATATTATCAGAATAATTAGCTAATAAAAATGGATTCCAGCAGTGCGCTCAGCAATGCTTCACCTCTAAGGGACACACATAAATAATTGAGCAGCCCCTTGATAGTAAATCAAGTCAGTCCAAAGTCAGTTTCCCAAAAAGAGCAGCTACTGGGAGATGGGCGGTTGGTGGAAGTTAGCTTGACCAGGACACTGGTCATGGAACAGTGCTTCAGCGCCAATAAATGTGGGCCAAGCTGTTTTAATCAAAATTTAAATATTTGCATTTTGATTGCTTAGTGTCCGAAGTGCACTGATAAATTGACATTTCGTCCACGCACGGTCAACAATAGACTGGAAAGGAGAAGGAATATCTCACGCTCAATATATGGTCAATAAATAATTCAACTAGTCTGTCGATGTTGCAACGAAGAATGCTGAAAAGTAAAGCAAAATAATCGCTTTTACTTTATCAAAAACAAAATGTCAACTGGAACAAAGTACTTGAAAAGCATTTAACGTTCAAAATACAGTCGATGACAAATTATGAGAAAGTTAATTGTTGCTAATTTGAAGTACACTGGAAAAATGGACATAAAACAATGGATTAAATTGGTATCTTTTGTTCACTATTGTGCAACTTTGCTCAAAAAGTTACAAATTAAAATAAAATCTTATTCAATTGTAAAAATGGTTTTTTGCTGCGTCTNGAAGTACACTGGAAAAATGGACATAAAACAATGGATTAAATTGGTATCTTTTGTTCACTATTGTGCAACTTTGCTCAAAAATTCACAAACTAAAATAAAATCTTACTTAATTGTAAAAATGGTTTTCTGCTGCGTCCAACAGTTTGTATTATTTATTGAGTAACTGATTAAAAAATTAGATAACTGAGAAACGTTATATGCTCTTTATAAATAAANAATTGTAAAAATGGTTTTTTGCTGCGTCTAACAGTTTGTATTATTTATTGAGTAACTGATTAAAAAATTAGATAACTGAGAAACGTTATATGCTCTTTATAAATAAATATTTTTTTATTCAAAGTTTAGATCCAACGAATTTATAATTTCAAAACTTTTAAAATGTGATAGATTTTGCATCAAAAGGCGCCATCTATTTCAACAAAACCAAACTGCATTATTTTTTGCAGATTTTAATATTGGACATAAAACATTACCTCTTTTTAAATAGGTTTATGTAACACTTAACAAATTTTTAAAAATTGTATTTATTTAAATTTATTAAATGTACCTAGTAATTTAGAGAATTGCCTTCTTCCCTTCCTAATTACATTTTACTTAATTTGATAATTTAGTAAACCTGCCGCTTCGGCCATTGAGTGGAATATTGAAGTTTCATCTTTTAGCAATGTCTGTGGATTATCGAACTCGGCTATTTCTCCAGCTTGTAATACTAAAACTCGTGAAGAATCGATGATTGTATTGAGACGATGAGCGATGGTTAGGACAGTTGTAGAAGCAAACTCTTTCCGCACTGTTTTCTGAATCAGACTGTCAGTTTCGAAATCAACGCTGGTTGGTGAGAAAAAAATTAACAGTTTGTAAAAAAGTAAATTACTAGATGATGAAACTAAATACTTACGCACTTGTCGCTTCATCCATGATGAGAATCTAAAAACACAAAAGTTGTTAGTGCTAGAAAGTATTATTTTAAATCTCAAACCTGTGTTTTACGAAGTAACGCTCTAGCCAAAGCAATTAACTGTTTTTCACCAGATGACAAATTGCTACCATTTTCCGAGATCACATGCTCTAGACCTCCTTCAGTAGAAGTGACAAACTTCTTCAAATGAGCCAGCTCTAAACTTTCCCACAATTCATGATCACTGTACTGACTGAATGGATCAAGATTGCTTCGTATTGTTCCAGAGAAAAGAACAGGATCTTGTGGAATGATAGTCAACCTTTGACGGAGCTGATGTAGGCCGATTGTTCCAATGTCAATTCCGTCAATCTTAATACATCCTCCAGCTGATTCAATCAATCTAAATAGCGCCAGTGTTAGTGAACTCTTTCCAGCGCCTGTACGGCCAACAATTCCAATCTAAAAAACCAACAATAACGACAATTAAAATTCTGACAAGAATTCAAGTCTAAAACTAAAACAAACCTTTTCGCCTTGTTCAATTGAAACTGTGATTCCTTTGAGAACTAAGTCTAATCCCGGACGATATCGAGTTGCGTAGTTTTCAAAATCAACAAATCCTTTAGTTGGCCATCCTGATGGAGGCTTTGTGCTTTCAATGTTCCATTCAGCTTCCATAGGCAAACTACTGTACTCCAGAATTCGTTCAACACCAACCACGCTAAAAATTAAAAATTTGTTAAAATCAAAACTACTGTCATGAGAAAGTTTTTACTTTGTTTCAATCTCTGACGTTGATCGCACAAGATAGTTTAAATTCTGCGTCGTATTTAGTGCGTAAGATATAATCAGTCCAACACTACTTGAATCGAGTGAATCTCTTTCGAAAACAGCAAAAATTGCTGCAAAAAGGACAATTAAATTGGCCACCATTTCTAACCGTATTGATAACCTAATGAATAGAAATGTTTTAATAAATATCTAGATTAAATTTAACTCACCATCGATTAGAAATCAGTGAACAAAAGAAGAATGTGTTATTGTAGTCGACGTTGTTGTCGTTCTTTTCAATAAACTGAAAGAAAAAAATATTGTTAATAACTCGTTATCAAAAACACTTTACTTGACTTTACCTGTTCGCAGGCAGAATAAGCTCGAATTGTAGAGATGCCTAGTAAAACAAATAATTGTAAGTTTGAATAAATTCCGCCAGGTAGCGCAAGCATACCAGACAATGTTTCGCTGAAATGAGAAAACACCGGCGACTTGCTGACTGATTCAAGACGCTAAGAAATGTATTTTTGAATGTTAAACTTATTTGTAAGACATATTAAATAATCTTTACCTTTAANTACTTGACTTTACCTGTTCGCAGGCAGAATAAGCTCGAATTGTAGAGATGCCTAGTAAAACAAATAATTGTAAGTTTGAATACATTCCGCCAGGAAGCGCGAGCATACCAGACAATGTTTCGCTGAAATGAGAAAACACCGGCGATTTGCTGACAGATTCAAGACGCTAAGAAATATATTTTTGAGTGGTAAACTTGTTTCCAAGACATATTAAATAATTTTTACCTTTAGCTGTCGAGCAGTTGACACGTAAAGTTTCTAAAAATTATAAAAAATGTAATTTTTGAACTTCTTTTTGCTAAAAACAAGTACCTGAATAAAGTAGAATATGATGCAGACCGGTAAAATGACAGCCAAGAATATGGGCAGTTCGTATGCAATTACCACGACAGTTGCGGCTGTTGAGAACAAACACATGTACATCACCCTAAAAAGAAAAGTTATTTAGTTAACTTCATTTGCAAACACCAGCTCTTTTCATCATCTTGCATATTATTTACCTAATGTTGCCTTGAAGAATATTATCAATGACGTCAATGTCTTTACTAATGGGAGAATTGAGTCATGCTTTGTTAAATTAAAATCGAGAAATCTCCATTGAAGAAACCACTCTCACCTGAAACGATTCAGTATTCGCCCAAGTGGCGTCACATCAAAGAAGGCCATATTACTGCGAAAGATGTTGTAGAGCATGCGATTGTGCAGATTCTTTGCCGCCCCTAGGACGCCCTTTGTGAGGGCGTACCAGCCAGTGGCATTGGTCACGCCCTGGCTGATGCCTATGACTCCGTAGATGGTGAGATAATAGTACGTTTTAGAGTTGTCCTTTTCCGCTTCTCTTGACCAGTAGGAAAGCCACACGCTAGAGCCAGCGCTGGAAATTTGCGAAAAGATGTAATTGATAGTGACCACGGTGCACCAGAATATTGTGATGGACTGTACGGTGAAAAAGATGATTGTCAGTAAAGAGGGGAATTAGAACTGGCCGATCTACCTTTAAGTACTGCCAGTAGACTGACCACTTGACTCTGCCAGTCTGCGAGTCTTCCTTCTCCACCAGTTTAGAGCCGATTTTAAAGTTGGCCGCGTCTTTGTTCATCTCCGCCAGTTTTCCCTCCGAATCGTCCGACTTCTCCTCCGCCTCCTCACTGTGCGAGTACTCGCTAATTAGATGTGCAAAGTGACCTTGCTGCTTAAGCAGCTCCCCGTACGAGCCGCTTTCGATGATTTGCCCTTCTTTCAGCACGAATATTGAGTCGGTGAAGGGAAGAACGGAAAGATTATTGGTAACCAGAACGCGCGTCTTCTTTCGCAGAATGCCCGTTTCTGAGGAAAGAATATTCTCAAAGATGGCACGACCAACATGGGAGTCCACTGGAAATGCACCACACACACACGCACACCGGAAAAGGCCACCGAATTGATTTATTAGTGCTGATAGACTAAAACTGAGTAGTCAATTTGAGCTGTACATACCGGCAGCCAGTGGATCGTCAAAAAGATAGATGTCGGCGGAATTGTAGCACGCACGAGCCACTGAGACTCTCGCTTTTTGGCCTAAAAACAAGCAGAAACCATCGACATTATTTTTTTAGAGAAAACAGATCAAATTTTGCCAAGTTACTTACCTCCACTTAAATTAATACCTTTGAGAGCGGGAGAAGTAAAGAAACGTATTTGGTTAGTGTGCGCTTATTTTTCTCTACAAAATATACGTCTGGCAATTTGAAGACAATTTCACAAAGACTGCTCATGTAACTAATGCTAGATTGTCTGGAAGGAGACAGTAGTAGTAGGACAAGCTAAAAATGTTACTTTATCGTATTATACTCTGAAGTACTGCTCATCTTAACTTTATCTTAAATTTAAAAGACACTTTAAAACTGCTGGAAAATAAATCAAAAACTGCCACTGTCAGAAAAGCTCTTTTCCTCACAGACAAAAAAGTTTTTACCTTTTTCGCCAATTTCCGTTAAATCTCCACCCGGCAAAATGGCAAAATCGGGAAGCAGCGAACAGGCTTGGACCACTTTTCTGTAATAATCCTCGTCCATTGGCTGTCCGAAGAGGATATTGTCGCGCAGAGTGGCATTTTGAATCCAAGCTTCTTGTGGCGTGTAGGCGATTCTCATTGATTTCTCTCTGCAAGGCAGCGCTGGCGTAAATACACTTTTTAGGTGTTCCACTTTTCCGCCAGTGGCCATACTATACTTACATGCTAATGGTACCCTCCGTCAGCTCCATGCTTCCCAATAGAGCGCTCAAAAGGGACGATTTTGAGCTGCCAACACTGCCAACGATGGCCACGAATGAGTTGTTTCTGATTTGAATGTTAATTTTGCTGAGAATCGATTTTGGAATGGTAACTTCTGCCGCACCGCCCTCCGATGACGCCTTTGACCAGCTAAAGCTGCAATTTGTTAGCTTTATGCAGTTCCCGTCCTTGTGCTCTTGCCTCTGCACGTAATTCGTCAGCTCATCAGCGCTCAAATAGTCATTCAGTCGTTTCACTGACACTCTTGCCTAGTGAAGAAAAAGTTTGCAAATGATTTTATCAAACTGAAAAGTAACACTGACCATTATGATTGAAGTAACGACGTTAGGAAGCATTGCTAATGCTGTATTAAAATTGCAGAAAATTGATTATGTAAATAATGCATAAAAAGTTAACTAAAAATAATTACGAAAACGCAAAATGTTGAACAAGGCCAATGAAACAAAAGCTTTTTGGGCTAAAAAATAAAACTTTGTAAAATTATTCAAATGTGCTTTTTTAAAAAAAATACCTGTAAGCACATTATTATTGTCAACTGCAATATAAATTCCAAAAGTAATCAAGCTAACTAGAAAAGGCGCAAGCGTCCAGCTATAAATCAGATAGATGATAAAGAGTTATTGAAAATGCAAATAAAAATTACAACTTCACATACAGCATTTGAAGGATGCAGACAAAAAAGTTAATCTTCTTAAGTACAACCAGTTCTTTCTTTCTGATGTTTTCTACTTTTTCAATGAAATGGTTTTCCCAGCCATACAGTTTTATAATTTTCATTCCACTTTTAAAAAATTAAATTAAAAGTTGCCGTTGTTTGAAAACTGAAAAAGATCTCCCCTCACCTTAAAATTTCATTCATGATCATTACTCTGCTGTCTTTTAATTTCATTTGTTGTATTTGCAATTTTTTGGCTATCTTGGTCAAATATGAATTGATTGGTATCATAAGAACCATAATCAACAATCCGCCAAAAACAGAGTACCCTGAAAAAATGATTAATATTAGATGATAAATCGTAAAGTTCTGTGTGTAGCCCGTACCCAGCTCAAGATAGAGGAAGATCAGGGCAACCACAATTTGAAAAGGGGCTGACCAAACGAGATTAATAAAGGTGCTTATCTCTACGAATCGCTGCGCATCTATGGCCATTAAGTTGACCTAGTTTACAACTTTTGCCATTAACCGACTTTTGCACTATTAAGAAAAAGAAACAGTACCGTTTGACCAGTGGTGAATTTGTTGCGAGAGCTGCTCGACTGTCGTAGGGCTTTTCTGTAAACCGCCGTTGTGAGTTGCGTTCTGACGCGCATACCAAATAGCTGCATCCTAAAAAAAAGAAAGAAAGTGAAAAAAACTGTCACAAACTTAGCTGTAAGCGCTTTTACCTGTTGAAATAGTAGTTGAGCGAGACAATTTGCCCAGAAGTGACGAGAAAGAGGCCCACCGCATAGATGTAGCCATGCCACGTTGGATCATTAGGGTCAGAGACAAACGTCATCAGTTTTCTGGGTGAAAAATGAAAAGTCTGAGTGGGGGCATTGACAGTGACCAGGCCGCAGACAAATTGATCTGTGGCTGTGCAGTGCGGACAGGAAGGCGGGCGAATTTTTATTTGCTGAGCACTTACTTCATGATCATTGGATTAATAAAGAGAAACAAGTCATTGAAGACTTTGAAGCAGGCGCCCGTGACGAAGTAGTAGCCAAGGGAGGACCAAATCAGGCGGAGGATGGACACTTTCAGCGGTTTGCCGAGTGCCTCGCTGCGTGCCTTGAATCGCTCCAAGTGCTGGTTGAAGCTCTCATGGCAGTGTGCGGCACTGTCTTCGCGCCTGATCTGCCAGACATCCTTCGGCTCGATGGGCCTTCTCCAGCCAATGTAAGTCAGACTGGAGTACCAGGAAAAGCTGAGGCGCGAGATGAACGATGCAGTCGTTTTGGGACATATTTTCCTCTCATCCTGTGTACAAAGAAAAGAGGAAGGGGAAAGAAGAGAAAGAGCGCACAAGATAATATATCATGGGTGAAAGGCGGCAAAAGGAAAGTGGCACTGGCAGTGGCTCATTCAGCACTGTGAGTACCAGCAGAAAGACAGTACCTTCAATTGGTGCGATGGANAAGAAGAGAAAGAGCGCACAAGATAATATATCATGGGTGAAAGGCGGCAAGAGGAAAGTGGCACTGGCAGTGGCTCATTCAGCACTGTGAGTACCAGCAGAAAGACAGTACCTTCAATTGGTGCGATGGCGAGTCGGATAGGAAGCTCTGCACGAAAAGGAAGACGGTGAGAAGACAATTTATTACCAGCACAGTGTCAGTGTTCGCCTGAAAGCTTCGGTGCACAAAGGTTGAGACCACTCGAAGCAGCAGGCAGATCGATGAGAGACACAAATAGGTCCACAGTGCACCACTGGAGTACACGGCTCGGCGGACGAAGAGGTAGAAGAGCACGCTGAGGAGGACCTGCTCGTGAAGGGCAATTAATAGAGCAAATCAGAGACAGAAAGCGAGTGTGTGCCGCCGAGTGACAGTGACAGTGGCAGTGGGGTAGACTCGGCAGTCAGTCAGTCAGTCAATCGGCAGCAGTTCGCTGATGTTCACCAGACGGAGGACTTACGGCAAAGAGCAAGTTGAGCAGAGCGTTAACAAGGTCGGCAGTCAATTTGTTCTCGGGAGGGAGGACCGCCGCAACGACCACCAGATCAGCGAGTGTGACCAGAAGGAGCGCCGTGGCGACCACTTGGCGCAGCACATTGAACGCATTCCAGGCGAAGGATGCCTTCGATTTAATTAATGAGCCAATCAATACTGGCAGGGAGAGCAGTAGCCAGGAGGGCGGCAGCCAGACCAGCACCGTCTTCTGGAAGCAATCATTCAACCAGGGACTGCTGTTGTTCCAGGCTGCCTCATTGTCCTGCAGAAGTCGCCAGAAGTGGAGGAGGAGGAGAAGAAGAAGGCGGAGGATGAAGAAGGCAAAGTGATCGTGATTAGTGACGCCGACAAATCGTAGTGAATATTCAATCGAACGGAACAAGGAGGGAGGAAGAGAGTAAGAACAATTGACAGTGGTCAGTGGTAAACAAAGTTGCACTTGGGCAAGTTGCACTGTCCGTACAAGAAACGTACCCAGATAACATCGTCTCCACAATAGTCCTTCCAGGCAACCATCTTCTCTTACACAATCTTACACACTCTTCACTATGCCTTGAACAGTCGCACAGTTAACTTTGTTGAGACTGGCAGTTGCCGTACCCTGCAGCATTAGCAGCCGTCTAACCAGTGCAGTAGTCGTCAAAGGATAAAATGACAGCAGCACCTGTTTAGCGGTACCTTTTAAAACCTGTCATGTCCATAAATTTAATTAGCACCAGGGCGCCGACAGGCATGGAGATTAGAAGCAACGACCAGTGTACGCAACGATTAGAATGCTTATCAGCAACAGGAGTGTTTAATTGTCAAGATGAGTGTCATGTCAAGTGTGCCTGTGTGTGTATGTGTGCGTGCGTCTTCCAAGTTGTTACGACAGTGTGAGAGCTTAGCGACTGTTCTTCATGCCGTCCCTAAATGGATATTAAGATGAATCCTGCCATGAGATAAGATAAGCCAGACCGAAATTGGGTGCTGGTGGTGCTGGTGCTGCTGCAGCTGCCTTAATTGAAGGGCTTGCTCCGGAGAGCTCTGGTCTAAAAAGCCATTTCCAATGTGGCCAGCAAGAAATGGTCTCTCTTTCTCTGTGTCTCTCACTTTCTTCCTCTCACTTCTCTCGCAATCCTCCTGCAAGAAAACTTTTATTGATGCGACCAGTCTCTCGGCACGAAACGCTGCGATACGATCACTACAGCAGTGATGCGACTGTGTGGCCTTGGAATAAGTGATGGCGAGGGCTAAGAGATGCACAGTCAAAGTAAACGTAGACTAAACTTGGCTGCAACCGTCGACTTTGGACAGAGGCTTCAGTGCGAATGCCATGCCACCGCCATCAGTGCTGCTGAAATTGTGTGCTGCCTGTATGGGCTAGAGCCCCAAAAAACTGAAGGGACCATTGGCAAGATTAATGGCGCCGCTCAGAGACCGGGCGTTTCACCAACAAAGTGGCAAGTCAGAGTGCACAGCACAGCACAGACCGATCCACTGGCCCACTGGCTTTCCCCTCTCCTCCTTCTTCTCTATCTCATTGTGACCCCTATTCAATTCATATTTGACATACTCGCATGATTCGGCTGTGGATGCTTCAGCCAAAAAGCAGTGCACAGAGATAGGCGCACAAGGCAAACTAAAGAGTGGTCCAGAGAGCAGCAGAAAAGAGAATGAGAGAGGGAGGGGAGGGGAGGGGAGAACAATCTCAGTCAATCTTAGCCGGCTTGCAGCAAACATGCAAACAAAGATAAGAAAATGAAAGAGTTTTTATTTTCGCTAAAGCACAAAGTTTAACGACACAAGACAAAAGACATCAAGGCTGAAGCTTTTCTGTCTTCTGCCGCTTTTCTTACTGATTCTCTTCACAGCCAGTGTCTCTTGGAAATGGGCAGATAGACACAATTAGATTAGGAATTAAATTTAATCAAACGACCGAGGGGTACGAGCGCGCACGAGGCAAATGAGACGGCAATTGTTGGCCACAAAATGACTGGCCACTGGCGGGTGCAGCCGACAAAGTGCTACTGCAGCGTTTTGTCGCCTTGCTTGGCAAACACAAAAGAAAGCAGAGAATGATGCAAGACAATGTCGCAAAGAAAGAGGCAGAGAGAAAAGAAAGTGAGGGAGAGGAAAAGAGACGACTGCCATTCTCGCTTTCTCGTACGATTATCCCTAAATTAAATAAAAAATTGACTGAATGGAGCACAGTAGTATATAAATAAATTGAAAAGACACTTCAATTGATGCGTAGCACTAAACAAACGGAGTGCAATGAAAAGAAGAAAAGAAGAAGAAGAAAGAAACTGAAAAGAAAGAGGACAGAATGAAAGAAAGTGAAAGAGGGAAAATACACTAAATGCCGATTAAGATTGGTTGAGTGAGTGACGCCAAGAGTTATTTACAAGTCTATTTGCAAGCCATGTCCAGTGCAGTGTTGGCACATTGACCAGTGGCAGTACTGGACAGTACTGGACAGTTCTGAAAGGGAAAAGGAGAAAGTAGAAATGAAATGGAGCAAAAAATAGAGCAAGAGGGGGTCGACAGAGGAGAGAGGCGTTCATTAGACTAGTTAGAGACTTTGCCCTTGGTGCTTTAGAAATTTAAACACGTTCGCCCAGTTACAGTTTGTATTTACTTCGCAAAGAGCTTTAGGACATCAAGGACAGCTGCTGCTCCAAAATGAAGCTGAGTGAAGAAAGGAAGGACAGAGGCCGTGTGGACAGAGAGAGAATGTGAGGAAAATCTAATCGATCTATATCGAGAAATGGCTTGAATTGCCTGTGCTCAACACACTGCACACTGTTTCTTTCGATTTCTAAATCATTAATTCTGTAGTGGCTGGGCCTCGGCGCCACCATTCAAACATTTCGATCAGTCTTGTCAGTCTGGGCCATTTCGCCAGTTTTTTTAGTGCGACGATTTTGCAGCGATAAGCACTAATTGAATCCTAAATAAATAAGTGCAATCTATTATGGCTTGCTGGGCAGCACTGTGCCAAGCCATATTCTCGCCTGCCCCCTCCTCCCTCCCCCAGCGTACTTTATCAATATTCGAGCCAACGGGCGAACGGGCGCTTCCCATGTGCCGTCGACTGTGAATACAACGNGAGAGAGAGAGAGAGAAAGAGAAAGAGAGTTTCAGTGGCTGCAGCCAGTGACTGGCAGGCGGTGAAGAAAGGAAAAGGAAAAAGAGGAGAGGAAAGAAAGAATCGCCAATCTACATCGCCAAGTGAACATCGTCGCCGACCACGAGAGAGGGAAAGTGAGAATGGGCGAAAGTGGGCAGTGGACGGCGTTGGTCAGTGTTACAGCATTCAGCGACAAGAGCAACATCAGCAACAGCAGGCATGTTTATTAGCGCCACAAACCTCAACTACAATGGCCGCAGAGCATTGCGATTGATAGTGCTGCTGCTGCCTGACAATGGTGGCGATGATGCGGCCAATGATGGGAGAAAGTGCGCAGGAAGTTCTGAGCAAAGCCGGACAATGCTAATAATAATGAAGGCAATCACATTTAGGAGTGTCGGTCAGTAATAGAGCAAATATCGGCTCGAAATGAGTTGACAAGACTCGTCGTCGCGACCGCCGCCGTCCTCCTCCCCCTCCTCTTCCCTTGTACAGACAAAACAATTGGCGAGCTTATTAAAGACCGATTGGAGGACACTGTGATGGGGGAAGACTCTGTGGGCAAGTGTCAACCTCCAGTTCAGTGGACAATGGGCANTCGTCGTCGCGACCGCCGCCGTCCTCCTCCCCCTCCTCTTCCCTCGTACAGACAAAACAATTGGCGAGCTTATTAAAGACCGATTGGAGGACACTGTGATGGGAGAAGACTCTGT